GGTCAGAAGACGGGTTATACCTTTGCAGGGGTATTGACGAGGTCAGAAGAGGGGTTATACCTTTGCAGGGGTATTGACGAGGTAGAGGGGCATGAGGGAAACTTCTGGGGTACTGGAAATATTTCACCTTGATCTGGATGTGGTTACAAGGGGGAATACATATGTAAAAATTCACCACGATCCATACTTTTAACTTCTCTGCATACCCGCTGCTGCAACCTTCCTCCTACTGTCTTGTCAGCTCACACCTAGATGAAGATAATCCAAGCTGGTCACCCTGGGACTGGCCTCTTTAATTATGAGCATCTATTTTTTGCCTCTGAACACTGCTGCAAAATTCATCTTCTTAATGTACACATTTCATCATGGCCTCTCTCTGATGAAGAATTTAAACAGTTATTGCAGTTACTGGGTCACTGACAAAATCTTCTCTTGGCCACAGATGTCCATTCATCAGTATTCTCTCTTCTTCATATTCCACAGCAGGAAGGCAAGCCACTCTCCACTTCCAACTACCTGCTCTTCTTTCTCTGATCAGGGCCTCCCACCTGGAGTGTTAAAGCACGGCCAATCGTGCTCAGTCTGAATCTTCTCCATCTTTCAGGATCTGGGTGCTCACCTATCATCTTCACAGAGCCTTCTTAGACCTTAAAAATCTGAGCGTACACATCATTCCATTCAACATTCGAGTCGGAAGTACTCTTCACCATTCCTTAGCTGTCCGACATGCACAAGCAGAAAGACTCCTGTTGATATCAATAAATGCTTGCTAAAAAAATGGACAGATCCTCACAGAAAAAAAAAAAAAAAGACTATTACTTAAAAGCCAAGCAACGATGTGCAGTGTGGGGGACACAGAGGAGCACAGCGACAGGGCGGTGCTAATAAACAGAACTGTTTCCAAACCTGCATTCACACGGGCATGTGTATGTGTGTGTATATGCATACACACATTGTAATAAAAAGATTTATTGAGATCTATTCACACAGCATAGCATTCACTCATTTCAAATGCATAGTTAGTTCAGTGGTTTTTAGCACATCTGCAGAGTTGTGAAACCATTTCTGCAGTCAGTCTTGGAACATTTCAGCACCTCAGAAAGAAACTCTGTACCCTTCAGCTATCACCCCTGAGTCATCTCATCCCCCCAGCCTAAGCAACCACTAATCCACCTGGGAGAGGGCCTGACACATGAAAAACAATCAACATTAGCTTCTGTTGTTTTTTTAAATTCTAGATTCTGTAAATCAGGATTCCAGGATTTTAAAAATATCAGTTTCTTAAATTTTGTAATCAGAAAATAAAACAAATACCAAACCTTAACCTTACCCATAAAAAAAGAAATCACGCTTTAATGTTCTCCTGCATATCAGAAAAGTAAAAGGGTAGACTGGGGTGGGGTTTCCACAAATGTCACCCTGAAATTACCATTTTAAGGCTCCGTAATGTCAAGCTTACGAACAAGTAAAAAGTACCAGGAGTGTATTAAATCAGTGCAAGAATGTAATTTCCCCAGTGATATCAGAATAAAAATTTCATCATTTATGCTTTAGTCAGAAAAAAAACTCCACACTATTAAACGTTCCAAGACTGAATTTACCATTATTATAGCAAAAGCCCCCTTTCTAGAAGTGGGACAAATATAATTTTGAGACAAATGTAAATGGCTAGAAGTGAAGTAACACTGATTTTCCTTAAGCAACTTCAATGATTAAGACGGTGTGCCAAAAGGGCCCATATGGTAAGGGAATTCTTTTTATTTTATTTATTTTTTATTGTACTGTAGATGAAGGTTTAGAGAACTGTTTCTCATTAAACAGTACACACATTGTCTTATGACATTGGTTAACAACCCCACGACATGTCAACACTCTCCCTTCTCAAACTTGGGTTCCCTATTAACAGCTTTCCTGTCAGCTCCTGCCTTCTAGTCC